GTGGCTTCTGCATGTATTCTCTTTATTCAGAGTCAGCTCTGTAGACGCAGGAAAGGCCATCGTGGGAAGGAAGAACCTTCAGGCAGCAGGCTGGAAGCAAACTCAGAGGACTATGACAAGTCGGGACAGCCATTCTGTGGCAAGAGTGTGCCTTCTAAAGCTGAGTGATGCTGTATGAGAGGGAAGGGCATAGAAGACACCGATGGGCTGGTGGGGTGGCACAGCGGATGCGGTGCTTGCTGGCAAGCTTGGAGACGTGAGTTCTGTCCCTGAGAACCAGCTGCATGGAACTTTCCTCTGACTTCCATTTATACATTCTTAAGCTACAGTGCACACCTGCAGCCCCCTCACAGCGATTTTTTTTTTTACAGGATGGTAATACCTGATAAAATTCCATATATTCAAAATAAGGTCTGGGCAGGGCAAGAGAAGCATTTTCTAATTGGCCAATTAACAAACGACAGGCACGAAGTGTGTTGTGTTTTCTCCTCAATGTATGGAAACTTTAAGAGTGGCTTGGTGACATGGTCATTATTAGAGGCTGGGAAGGGTGGGGATGCTGGATAAAGGAGGTTCTGGATAAGGGAGGTTTGACTGCAGAGACCAGGGCACATACCTGGAGAAGCAAGTTCAGTTCTAGGGACTCTATACTTAATAATAATCTATTTTTAAAAAATCTTATGAAGAGGTAGAAGACAGAAGTCTGAGGCTCCAAAAATAAAGAGGCAAGAATTCACCCTCTTGATTTGATGGGTGCCATTTGTGTGTGCTGACATATCCTGACCCAACAAAAACCAAAGTAGGGAGAAAAAAAGAAAACACACACACACACACTCTTCAAAGCTAGACTGCCTGCCTGGGAATGGATGTGGGAGCTCTTGTCACATTGTCACGTTGCTCGCATTTCTTTCAAGTGTTCAATTCATTGGAAGCTAGCAGGTCCGGGCAGCCAGCCAAATGAATGTCAGCTGATGACACATTGCAACAGTAAAGCAGGCTCGGCTGCCAGGACATTGTATCAATGCGGTGTTACAATATGATACAGTCTCGTGCATATGATGCAGCCGTACAAATGTTTGCTGTGGTCTTATAGCCAACATCCAGCAATATAGCTAACACCCTGGGGCTAAGCTTTCTTGAATTCTTCTCTAGGAAGGCCTACAAGAAACTGAGTTACCTACAGCACCCACAGTTCTTAGCGTGTACCCCCAGGTGCATACGTCAGAACTTTTTCTCTTCCTGGGCATTCCAAATGACACGTATTGTAGCTGGGAGGAGGGCGCCACGTGACGCATGGTTGCCTGTGAAAACGGCTGCAAGTTACAAAACTTAATGCCATCATTAAAATGAGTAGAAGAAATGGGGGTCAAAGAAATAGAGCTCGTGCCCTTGAGGGGAGCAGACAAGAGTAGTGTCCTCTACTGGTGGCCCAGGTCTGGTCTGGGCTCTCTGGTCCCAAGCAACACGGCTTGATGGTGGGGGTTCAGAGCCTCCTTGTGCCTCTGTGACACCCCCACCCCATCCCCAGGACGACTTCTACAGCGGTGGGACTATGAGGTGGCTAAAAGAGAAAGTGTGTCTGGCACTCACCACCGAGTAGTGTGTGGCTTGGGCTCCCAGCACCAAGTAAACTCCGTGTGAAGAAGTCATCAAAACTGGGGCGCCTAGCAGGACAAAGCAGCAGCTAGACTTTGAGGAGGAGCAAGTTTGTGTGTGCTGGGCGGGACGCTTTAGTTACCTCCAGGGAGCTTGGTTGCTCGCAGCAACTTGAATGATCCCTTCTTGCTCCAGCTTGCTGCCTCCCAAGCTGGGCTCTGGCCTGAGAGTTGTTGGGTGACTCATACTCTTGCCTTCTCTGGACCCATTTCCCCCATTTCCATCTATCCCCTGGTCTGTTCTCTTTCTATCCTTTCATGCCCCTCTGAACCCCAGAGGACATCCTAGTGAAGGGAAGAACACATATGTGTGATGTTGTAGCAGTCAGTTTTTTTCTGTAGTGGCGCCGTGTAACAAACTGGCCCAAGAATCCTCAGCTCATTCACTGTGGCATTTATTTTACTTACGTTTCTGTTTCTTCAGACTGGGTCCAGGCCAGCCCTTGATAAAGTTCAGGTCAGCTCTGTGTCTCGTCACTTCAACCCAGTATTTTGCTGACTAGATAAAGACACATGGCCAAGCCCAACTCTCAGTGTGCTGATGACATAGGGACCCACTGCACTGTGGTGCCACCTGGCCCCTTAAAGGAGCAAAGCAAGGAAGATTTGAGAATAAATTCTATCGTATTCTTGGTATCCAGACTGTGGCCAAAGCTTTGGACAATCACCGATTTTAAATAAGGTGGAAACGTTTAGTAGCTGTGCAAAGGACCCTGCTCGAAGGGGCAGAAAGAGGCGGCCGGTTTGGAAGGTTTCACAGAGAGCTCTAGGGACCGAGGAAGCCACATGGAACCCCCCTCTCCCCAACCCCAGGTTGTGCTGAGCCCCTCTTTCCTGTGCCTAGGTTGGAGCTCATAGAAAGACTTCTAGGGGACCCCCCCCCCCAAGAACCTGGGGAGACCATGGTATAAAATACGCAGGCACCTTTGCTGTGTTCTGTCTCCCGTGGGACAATACTGGTTCCTGGCAGTTAAAGGTTCGGGGTTGCTGGGTATGGTCCCACCTGGGAGTGAGCGAGCGAGCGAGGGGGGGGGGGGCGCAGGCCTAGCCCTTGCCTTTCTGCAGAACTCCAAACTGGCTGACATCTCGCTGCCTCTCCAAGAAAGTTCCTCTGAGTGGCCACTACGTTTCAAAGATATTTAAACACTCACTGCCAGAAGGTTTGGCCAGAGACACCCAAGAATTTGAACCGTGTGTGGCTTATTTGAGCTCACTGGGAGCTGGAGCCGTGACATTGCGCATCCTGCCAGGAGCCCTTACAGAGCTCAGGAGTTGCTGGTGTGGTTTGAAGTCAGAAGCGGTGGGGCCGACTCTCCCAAACCCAGTGACCACTGTGGTGAAGGCGGACCTCTTTAAGAATACTCCCTTTAAAGACTTATAAATAAAACGCCCCGTGGGTGTTTGTAGCATGTTCTTAGTCTGGATTTTCTTTAACAGAGACACCCACGTGGCCCTCATGTTGCTCAGAGAAACAATAGGATTCTTTCTTCTGCCTGGGCCTGTGAGAGGAAGCAGGAAGTGAATGCTTGTAAGGGGTGACTGGGGGCTTTCATATGGCAAGCGGGGTGACTGCTGTTAGGATCAGGGCCCTGGCCTTGCTGGCCAGGCGCTCTCCCACTGAGCAATACTCCAACCCTCTGGAACCTGCTGGAAGAGGCAGAAAGATGTCAGCCAGTTTGAAGGTCTGTCTGCCTAAAGGGAACTGCTGGGCTTGCCTCTCTCTCTGGCTCCTTGGCCACCTGGAAGCTGCTCTGGGAAGGGCAATGGAGCAGCCAAGGGACTCGCTGTAGGAAACGCCTCAAGGCCATTGTTCTGTCTCCCGGGCATCTTTTTCGCTGTCCCTCATTGCTGTCAGCCTGGGCTGTCGCAAGGACCCCAATGTCTCCTTGCTGCCGTATGGGGGTCCCCTCATTCTGTTGGCTGGTCTCCATCTCACTTGGCTTTTGTCCATCTTGAGGTAGAAGCCTGACGTCCACCTTGGGGTCTTTTTTTTTTTTTTTTTTTTTTTGATTTTTCGAGACAGGGTTTCTCCGTAGCTTTTGGTTCCTGTCCTGGAACTAGCTCTTGTAGACCAGGCTGGCCTCGAACTCACAGAGATCCGCCTGCCTCTGCCTCCCGAGTGCTGGGATTAAAGGCGTGCGCCACCACCGCCCGGCCACCTTGGGGTCTTTACTGAGCTTTCTCGGCTCAACATCAAAATCCCAGCTCCATCTGCCCCAGTCAAAACACCCTCGGTGTTTGCTCATGACATTTGGCCTGCAGGAAAGCGTTTCCTAATTACATGGATGATGATGGAAAAAGTGGGTGGGGCTGGAAAGCTGGCTGTGCGTCTCAGGGTGCCTGCCAGCAAGCCGGACAACCCAAGTTCAGTTCCCAGGACCCCGTGGAAGGAAAGAACGGACTGCTGCAAGTTGTCCACGCACATGCCACACACATGTATGCATGGGTGCACACACAATAAGTGTAATAAAACATGGGGATAATTTTTTATGAATACACTCAGCTGATCAAAATTCAGAACCTCCCATGCTCCCGCTTGGACTCCCGCCAGGATGGATGTTTTGGAATTCAGCAGGTTCCAAGAGCTAGAGAACAGTGTGTTAGGAGGAATGAACGCCAGAGTCTGTGCTCTGGGCACAGGTGGAGGATGACATCTTTGTGGGATTTCCTCTCCTGATGGGACAAACCCTTCCGACCTGTGTACGTGAGACTGGGGGGCTGGAGCGACTGACAAATGTCTGGGGAGTTAACGTCCTCTTCTGTTGGCAATGACCGAGTCTTTACTTACGTTCATCAGCGTCTGCTGACTGGGCATCAGCTCTATGTAAGCACTGTCCTGGGTTCTGAGATTGTGGACCGTGCAAAGAGTGGCCAAGTCCCTTCCCTGTGTCATAGTTCAACCAAGGGATGCGGAGTCTTCATTACCCCAGGCCCCTGTGTAAATCATTTAGCTCTTGGAACCTGGTGAACAAGTAAAAGCTAGAGAGTGACCAAAGACACGGTTGATTGATGGGTGGGAAAAGATAGAGCTAAGCCAAGGAAGGGTTGGATGGGGACTTAACTGCGTTGTTGGTTCCTTTTGTTTGTTTATTCTGTGTCGTTCCCAGTGCCGGGTGACTTGGATGATTCGTATGTAACGAATTCCAGGATCCCAGGGCACCGCTCTTGTGTTTCTGGATCAAAGCTGCTTGCAATGGTGCAAACCAAAGTCTGAGTAATTAGGCGGTCCATCGGGATGGAGCCGAAAGAGCTCTCTCTGTGTGATGCTCTGTGCGGTAGAGCCATGGGTAGCCCTTGGCCTGCAGGCCCCAGCTCTGACCTACCTGCCTTCCCCACCTCCTCCAGGTATGGAGAGTGCAATCACGCTGTGGCAGTTCCTTTTGCACTTGTTGCTGGACCAGAAACATGAGCACCTCATCTGCTGGACGTCTAACGATGGCGAGTTCAAGCTCCTCAAGGCGGAAGAAGTGGCCAAGCTGTGGGGCCTCCGCAAGAACAAGACGAACATGAACTACGACAAGCTGAGCAGAGCCCTGAGATACTATTACGACAAGGTAAAGCAACCCTCAGCCCCATGAGGGGTGGGAGGAGGAGGTGGGAGAATGCCTTGCCTCTCCTTGTTCATTGATGGGGCAGATGAGCCAGTGCTGTGGATCAAATTGGAAAATGGGCGGTGGCTCAGAGGCAGTTCAGCCTGTGAAATGCTTGTCCTGTAGGCACAGGATCTAAATGCAATCTCTGGAGTCCACAAAAAGGCCTGGCGTGGTGGAATATGTGATTCCAGGACTCACGGGCCAGCCTTGCTGGTCTGTCAGTTCCAAGCCACTTAGAGACCCTGCTTCAAAAAAAAAAAAAAAAAAAAAGATTGATGTTTGGAACCCGATGAATGATGGTCACATGCACACCTGTGACCAGGTGTACAAACAACACACAGAAACCCAAGAAAATGGGGTTGCTTATACTTTTGATTTTGAGAAAAACCTGTGAGGACTTTGCCTCCTGTGGAAACCTTTAGGATGTTATGGGGACTCAGATCTTGTCCCCCACCTTCTCAGGTGTAATTTTCTGAAGAAGGCTGCTGGTAGCAAGGTAAGGTGTCAGGTGGCTCTGGGGACAGAATCAGAATTCAAGTCTGGGAAATCTGTCTGTTCTTTCTGGATGGGGTGCAGCCAGAAGAGCCTTTCCTGGGAAATGATAGTTTGGGGTGCAGTATTTGACCCCTGTGTACTGGGGGTTGAACCCAGGGCTTTGTGCATGCTGAGCAAGTGTTCCAGCAGTGAGTTACACTCCCAGCCCTGGCTGGACACCTTATTACTATTAAGGACCTGGCATCTCAGTATCCCTGCTTGTGAAATGGGAATCATGGCCATTCCCAACCTAGGGTCTCAGTGAGGATCCACTGAGTCATTGCATGCTAAGTCCTTATATCTGTGCTTGCCGTGGACATTTGACTTGTTAGTAACTTCCCTAGTTAGAAGCAAAGACAGTATTAGGAAGGCGAGAGGCAGAGCACTATGATTTTTTAAAAAAAAACAACACTAATTTTATATATATGGGTTTTTTGCTTGCATGTATGTCTGTGCACCACATGTGTGCAGTGCCCGTGGAGGCCAGAAGAGGGCGATGGATTCCCAAGACTGGAGTTACAGGCAGTAAGGTGCTACCATATGGGAGCTGGGAATTGAACTTGGGCCTTGGAAAGAGCAGTCAGTGCTCTTAACCATTGAGCCATCTCTCCAGCTTCTAGAGTACTTTTTAAAGTCAATCACAGCACAGTTGCCAAAGCCAGGACAGTTGGCGTGAGTGTAATTAATTTCCCACCAATTAGTTAGTGTGCTTGGTAGGGCAAAATCCCTTCTATTTTGGATAAATGTATCAGATCTGTAATTATTGGGCATTACCGTCTGAGCCTCTGCTTCCCGGACATAAAAGCTGAGAGTCCCAGTAAATAAAGTCAGCTTTTGTTCTGGGTTCACTATTCGTATGGAAAGGTGAATTTAAAACTTATTTAACTATTGGTTCCTGATCTATATTTAGCACCTTCTGTCTGCAAACCTCTTTGGAATCGAGGACAGAAGGATCACACGTTTCAGGAAGTGACGACGTCATTAATTATAAGGAGCTCCGTTCTGTCCTCCTAATTGCATGTGATTATGTCATTGGCGAACCAAGGTGCTTCCCATTAATGTGGCAATTAATTAATCCCGGCTTAATGCAGAGTCCTGCGAAGATGTAAAGGCACTTCTCAGCTAATTGCACTGTCTGGAAGCCAAGCAGATGGCGTCTTGTTTGCATTTTCCCCAGGTTCTATGTTCTGCCATGGGAACTGGGGGCCCCCACAGGAAAACAGTCTGCCTTGCCTGCTGGCAGGGAGCCCGGAAGCTTGGCCTTTCCATTGTTTTAAATCAAGGTGTCAAAGAAAAGAGGGCTTGCCTCAGTGCCTGGCACCGGAGTCACCTCTTCACGGCTCGGGCATTGCACCTGAGGGTGTACGTAATGTCCCGTCAGCAGGAAGGGGTCTGTGTCCTGGGTTGGGGAGTGACTGTCGGTGGCTGGCACTGTGGCTTGTTGTTGAGCCAGCACCTGGCCCAGCGCTCTAGAGAGAGCCCTGTCAGGCTGGAGAGATGACAGTAAAATGTCTCCCTCACAAAGTGAGACCCTGGAGAGGCGCTGGGCATGATGGCTTCCGCTTGCAGTCCCAGCGCTGAAAGACAGAGACGGTAATCCTTGGGGTTCCCTGGCCAGCTGGCCCAGCCTGATAGGTGAGCTCCAGGCCAGAGAGGGACCCTGTCTCAGAGGAGGTGACTGGTGTTCCTGAGGATGACACCTGAAGTCCTCTGGTTTCCACATGCATGTGTTGTGTAGACACACACACACACACACACACACACACCTGTATGTACACACAAGTATACATACTCACAAGTACACATTCATACACAAGTACAATTCACATACACACACACACACAAGTCCATATGTATATGCACACTTGTACATATATACACACAAGTATAATGTATACACACACAAGCACACATGAATATATACACATGTATGCACAAGTACAATTCCCATCCACATAAACACAAGCACACACATGCATATGCAAGTACAGTATACATACACACAAGCACACAGATATGTACACACATATACAATTTGCACACATACAAACATAGATGCAAACACAAGTACATAAAGACACATATGTATACACAAGCAAGCACACATACGTGTGCCCACACGTGTGTACACATAAGTATAATTCCCAGACACACAAACACATCCATGCACACGCATTTTTTTTTCAAAGTAGTTTCATTGCTGTCAGGGGGCACATTGCGGCTTTCTGTTAGGTATCTAGGGACCTGGCCTGGCGCGGGCACTTTCTATTGAACTAGATGACTTTAAACTAAATGACACTCCATGAGACAGGTCCTGGCCCGGCCCTCTTATACGAGGCAGAACATGGGGCCTTGGTTAGGAGACTACTCTAACCCAAGCAGCCAGTGAATGGCGGGGCCTGGCGGCAGCTCCATATCATTCTTTTTTTTTTTTTAAAGATATATTTATTTATTTTTTAAGTATACAACATTCTGTCTCCATGTATGCCCGCATGCCAGAGGAGGGCACCAGATCTCAGTACAGATGGTTGTGAGCCACCATGTGGTTGCTGGGAATTGAACTCAGGACCTCTGGAAGAGTAGCCAGTGCTCTTAACCACTGAGCCATCTCTCCAGCCCTCCATATCATTCTTTAACACAAACCTTGACTTCTACTTTAGAATCCCTGAGTTCAGGTAGGCTGCCCCTGTGCTGTTCTAACCTCAGGAGGTTTTTTTTTTTTTTTTTTTTTTTTTTTAATCAAGAGCTGTAATACTGAAAAGTCCAAACAAATGCCATGTATTAGCTTAAGCCCAAACTCTGGGGCCCTGGTGGCCACCGTGGCCAGCTTGCTAGACTTGTCCCCTTTCCCTCTTTCTGGGGCAGAGCATGATCCAGTCATGTGACTTTGAAGCAACCCAAGAACTGAGACTTGGCAGTAATGTCAGGGGCTTCTGCTGCCTCTCCTGTCTGAGTGTGTTGTTCAGGCTCAGCCACAGAAAGGCTTGCCCCACACAGGTGTTCACGCCCGTGTTCCCAGGACAGCTGACTCTGATCTGCAACACTCGCAAGAGATGAGAAGCCCTCGCCCGCCTCTGCCTGTCTTCGTTGCTCTTACAGAACACGCGAGGCTGGGTAGTGAATAAAGAAAGGAGTTCTGGAGATTCGGAAGCATAGCAGTGGCTCTGCAAAGGACGGCTAGAGGATGATGTCACGGCAGGAGCCTGCGTTAGAAGTAAACCGAGGGGGGCCCATTCTCTTATAACAACCCACTCTCATTGGAGCATCTCCTCCCACCCTCAGTGATGTGACACTTGGCTGCACGGCACGGTCCACTTTTGACTTCTCAGCTCTGGGGACACGCTCCAGCCATAGCCACTGACTCTCAATCCAGTTATTTATTTATTTATTTTGGTTTTTCGAGACAGGGTTTCTCTGTGGCTTTGGAGCCTGTCCTGGAACTAGCTCTGTAGACCAGGCTAGTCTCAAACTCACAGAGATCCACCTGCCTCTGCCTCCCGAGTGCTGGGATTAAAGGCGTGCGCCACCATCGCCCGGCTCAATCCATTTTAAAAAGAAAAGAGGAGGAGGATGGAATGGGGGGGATGGAAAGGGAAGAAAGGAAGGAGGTGAGAGGAGGTGGGAAGGAGGTGCAGAAGAGCCAAGAGGGAAGAGCAGGAGGAAAGCGGCCGCTACGTCACTAAGATCATTTATTTTGCGTCTTCTGGCTAACACGTCCCGTTTCCCCAGAAGCACTCTGATGGGCTAGGTCAGTGAAACTGGTTCACACCTCTGATGTCTGATAGCATGAGACTGGCCGTCATGGCTGGCATAAATGTCACACCTCTCATGGAAGGGCCGGTTGGATCAGGGTCTCGGTGGATGTGAAGCCTTGGGCCACACGGGCATGGTGTGATGTGCCCCGCCCTGCTCTGTTTTTCAGGCAAGGAAGGGGGAGTGATCGCAGACTCAGGCTGGTCCCCTCTGTTTCTCGGTGTCCCTGTGACTGCCGTCGACCTCTTCTTCCCCCTCCTTCCTCACACTCAGCCCATGAGTGGCATAAATCTGCGGCTGTCTCACTCAGCAGCCACGGCAGTTTTTATCGGTTGTCTTTTCTGGCCTTCTCTAGCTCACCTCCTTTCCATGGTGGCTGGAAATGCACATCCCTTGGTTTGTCCTAATAGGGAAGTTTCTCTGCCAGAGCAGACAAGCCCGTGAATAGCATTATTTTCATATGGTATATGTCATATTTTTAGCTTGTTCCGGCATATTAAAAGTGTAGCAGAGGAGAAATGTGGACACGTGTATAAGATACACACAAGACCCCGAGGGAAGATACCGTATGTATTTGTGACAACTGGCAGTGTCCCTTCGAAACACATGCCCTCCAGCCCCCAGGTTGTAGAGAGAGGTAGGCATGGTGAGGTGTTGAGAGCAGTGAGACCCCA